CGAAAAGTGTCAGTTGGCGGGAGGCCAACTTCCCGTCCCCGTGTAAAAAACTTTAAAAAGTTACAGAAACATTAGCCAACACGTCTGTTCATTTTTCTGTCTAGAGAGACAGAGTGTCACAGAGTAGTTTCTGCTCCAGCACGACCAATGAAGGACAGTGGACAAAGCCGAAAGGACTCTCCTGACCCTATACCTACAGCCAGACCAGGAAAAGACTCACAGAGAATGATGTACAAAAAAGTGGGAAGACGTGGAATGATATATTAATATTATAAAGAAACTAGTCTAAGTCAGGAAATGGTGGGAAGTGTTTTTTCGTGGCGTGATGCAAGGTGAGAAAGGCAGTGAAGATGATGATGAAACAAAACGGGTAACAAAAAATATCTTCACCTGGTAAGGTATTTTTAAAAAAAACCTTTTCTACTCTTCAACTCACTCTGCAAGGTTCTATTAAAAGGCGGAACCTCCGAAACCATCGTTTTCCCCCGATATGACCTAGTCGAGTTTCTGAGACTGGAGAGCTAGAAAACAAGCCAGACAATCAATGTTCAAGAGCTCCCCTTTGGTTTATTCGAACATGGTAATGATCATAATTCGCTGCATCAGATTGCAAAGTTCTATTAGTCTGTCCCCGTCGCTTTATGCAAGAAAAAATTTGAAATTATGCAAACTGAGCCCAAAATTGTGAAATTATGCGATTCTGTTAACTGTCACAAAGAATGATAAAGTAAAATAATCAGAAATTATGCAAAAAATGATCAAATTTTGCTAAATTATGCGGGGTGCATAAAACCACGGGGACAGGCTAGTCCAGTAGATCTACCTAGTTTTGAGAAATTTGAAGTCAAAATTTGTTAATCTCACATGTCCAGCGTTTTCGATTGCAATTTTCTGAATGTCTTGGTAACGACTCCAAATTATAAGCTTACGATTTTGATGGAGCCGATAGATCATTCGATTTCTGACTTCATGGGCTTAGTAACTGAAACCAGCCAAAAATGTCAGATAGAACTTTGTAATTCTAGCTTAGCGAGTTATGTGTGAATGACAAGCTTACCAGCCAAACAAAGAGTCTTTCATTCGCTATGCAAACCGGTGAAGTAACTCAGACATCTTTGTAAAATTGAACTTTCCATGAAAAAGTACATAACCCACGTAAGCATCACGGCGACCATCACCCGCTGTTTCTTGTTACAGCACATTCGACGTTTGACTTAGCTATAAACCCATGGTACATGGTAGTGGGCGCTCTGGTTTGGTTTTCTCCTTCTTTCCTCAAACGTCTACCACCATCCTTATCTCTGTCCTTCTCTTTCTTTTTTTGTGTTTGTCTTCTCTGTTGTAGCACGTTTGATCTTCGGCACTTATATGGCCTTATTGTGTTTCAAGTGCCGTTGAACTCTTAGTCTTACTAAAACTAAAAACCCATGGTGGCTCCACATGATGACACTTGGTGTTGGATGTGCACAAGATCAATCAATTCAAAATAAAGACCTTGGGGGATTTGATGGGATAGGCTTTACTTTAGAGACTTTTCAATGTTTCAATGGTCGGTGAGTTTGCTCAACTGACTGGATCGATTTGGGAAGGTAGAAACATCAATGAGATCTTTCATGCGACACCAATGTCCCTAGGGCCTTAGGAGGGATACAATCCTTTACCCCTTTACTGCCCCTAGGGTTCCTGTCTCGGGTTTTGAACAATTGCAGTGTAGGCGGGGCAATGAAAGAGACATCTGACAATGTAAATGTCAACCGAATCCTCTCTCTCTCTCTCTCTCCCTTGCTCTCTCACTCAGTGTGTGTGTGTGTGTGTTTGTGTGTGTGTGTGAGTGTATTTGTGTGTGTATGTGTGCATGTGTGTCTCTTTCTCTCCCTCTCATACATCTATACACAGAAACACACATACACCCTCACACTTTCTCTCTCTCTCTCTCCTATCTCTCTCTCTCTCACTCACACTCACACACACACACACACACACACACACACTCTTCCTCTTTCACTCTGGTATTTGATATTATAAGTCAACCAAGAAGGGATCTCCACCTGTCCCTGTTCTGGGCGGTCCTCTCTACATCCAAGCCAGCTCTGTCCAATCCGTCGGAGATCCAATATCGAATGCTATCATACGATTGTCACATGTAATAGTATCAACGACAGGATTGGCGAGACTGATTTAACCTATTTTTTATATATATCCCATCCAACTAAAAAAACAAACAACGTATGTCACGTGTCACTATGGAAAAGACAGCACATTTTTCTAGAAACCCTATCCTTGTATATATATATATATCTGTAAGAGAAAAGATGTCATCTAGCCGTACAGCTATTTGTTGCAAGTTGCACGTCCCTTCGATTGAATGCTGTAAGTTAGGCCCCGCTCACACTGGAAATATTTCCACTGGTAGCACGGCTGAAAAGTATCAAGTATCATGACAACATCACTTGGCGGTGAAGAGTGATGAACGGGCCAAAATTGCCCCATTTGCATACATACTCTCAGGCGCGCGACGAGGGAAAATTTTCCTAGTTCAAGTGTACTTTTTATTGTGAAAATACTATTGACCGTATGACTGTAACAGTAATTGTCTTCTGAAAAGATTATGTACCACATGTTTGTCGTGTCTTTTCGTAAAGTGGTTTTATAATTGTAATAGTTTTCCCAGTTGTTTAAATTTGTTTCAGACTCATACTGTTAAGTAGTGTTAAGACCAAATCTGGGAAAGAAATTGAATAAAGCCTTCTTTATAATTCGGCTGTTCCAACTTTCTTGAAATAATGAATCTACAAAAATTCGTCTGTCATTTTACTTTACTGCTAGATCTAGGTCATTAATAAAGGCAGACTTTCTAATTTTTTCCGATATGACCAAGCCAAGAATGTAAAGAGCCCTGAAAACTTGCAAAACAGTTTATATTTTTATTCAAGAACACCAGATTGGGCTTCGAACCAGTTGCAATGCACTGTGCCATTGACCAGAATGATACCAACGTAACCAGCGACGTGCGCACAAGGTACATTGTACTTCATTTCAGGTGCCACATTCTCCAATGCCTCTGCGCTATCACATGGGAGACTACTCCGGAAAGCAAGGTTTAACAAACGATCTCTTACAGAGTTACACTGCCTGAAATATGCAACTTCGACCTGCCGCTTTTCCCGAAATTTTGAAAATGCAGCATGATCGTCTCTAAACTCAAGTATTCTTTCTTGGAATCCCC